AGTATACTATTGTGTACCACACACTTAAAATATATAGAAATATATATTATAAGTAGTTCTTTAAGGGTTCTTTAGTAAAGAAAATTGTTCTATATAGAACCATGAACACCCAAAAAACCATTTGCATGCTTAAAGGGCTCTTTGCTTCATGAAGGCATTCTTGACATCATAACAGCAGAACAAAGGGGTCTTCTATTGTTACAGGCTTGACATCATACATAATAGAAGAACCCGTTTTGGTGCTATATAGAACCATTTTTTCAAAAAGACTATATAGAACCATCTACAGCACATTCTCCATCAGGCTAAAGAACTTTTTCACAATACAGAGAACCCTTTAATCATGCAAAGGGTTCTTTGAGTGTTTATGGTTCTATATATATAACCATTTTTTTTCCTAAAGAACCCTTGAAGAACCATATTTGTTGAGTGTTTATTCTCCTGTAGAATCCACTGTGAATTTTTACTACTGGTTTTTAAATTTCTTAATGCTTTAACACCTTCGTCCGTTTCTGAGTGCTGATTGATGATGTTCCATATCGAGCTTTGAGATCATCCAGTGCTGCTTCTCCAGATTCCACAGATGAAGCTTAAAAGAGCCGAGAGGTTCTGTTGTTATGCACCAAAGATCTGGAACATGGTACTGATTAACGTCTGTCAGCCTCCTTCTATCAACGACTTTAAAAAATGGCTAAAAACTGTTGCCCCTGTTTTTACTGGAATTTACTGGAAGTTTTTATTAGATTTTTATACGTAGTTTTATTTTGTGAATACTGATTTTAATTATTACCTCCCCTTTTCTGTTATTGCCTTTATTTGTTGCATTTTTATTTGTCTGTTTTATTTTGTTATCTTTTGTTTATCTTTTTTCTTTTTCCTCTGTTGTTTTTATTTATGTATCGTGAAGCAGTTTGAGCTGCATTTTTAACTTATGAGAGGTGCTATATGAATAAGGATTATTATTATTATTATTATTATTAGGTCCAAACACGAAGTGCTGGAACCCTATTGTAATTGTTAGGATTCTTCTTCTTCTTCTTCTTCTTCTTCTCCTTTTTGTTTTTCTGCCCTAAAATCGTGCAGACCAAACTGTAAGTAATACAGACATAAACCTTGGTGAATAGGTAGTAGTTCCTCCCGCTACTCAGGCACTCAAGCTCAGCCCAGTCGGCCTGATGGTGGCGCTATAGCAAAGCTCTGTATGTTTAGGATTCTGTACCGTATGTCATAGAGACAAAATTCTTTCTTCTCCTAATTAGTTATGTCATGGTGATTGTCTCATGAATCAAATTCAACACATTATAAAATGATCATTTCCAATAAGTAGACCAAAATAAGTCTGTCATGCTGTAAACATATAAAGGATAAAATCATAAAATCATAAAATTATTCATATATATGTACGAATCTTTACTGACGTGTTGCCGAGGAGGATCGTAGCCAAAATAGCAATGTTGGGGGAACTTGCAAAGGATGCTTGGACCCCGCAAATCGCTGTTTGCGGCTATATTTGTTATCATTATTATTATTATTATTATTAGTAATAATATTATTATTATGGTTATTATTATTATTATTGTATATCCCATAGGGACGCTAGTAGAAAGCATCATTATTTTAGAGGTGTTTTGTTTTGTGTTTATTAGCCGAGCTGTAGTTCTGGCTGTAATAGTTCTAATAAACCCACTTTTATTTTTATGATAGGATGTTTTCTGGTGTTTTGGGAAGCTTGTCCGAAGTGTCCGGATACTTTCGGAGCCGCAGCGTTCCCGCTGCTGTAGACGCTGCAGTGGCTGAGCTGCTGTTTCTCGAAAGCTTCTTCTACTCAGTGTTTGATCTTTCAAGCGTTTCCTTCACACTGAATATGCTCTAAAATATTGACTTAATCCGAACTCCTCAGGGCCGAGCTCGCTTACCGCTCCTCCATCAGCCCCCTCTCTCTCTCCCTCTCTCCCTCGCTCTCTCTCTCCCTCTTTCCTTCTCCCTCTCTCCTCTCTCACTCTCTCTCTCACACTCTCCTTTCTCTTTTCTCTCTCTATCTCTCTCTCTTCCTTTCTCTCTCCCTCTCTCCTTCTTTCTCTCTTGCTCTCTCTCTCGCTCTTTCCCTCTCTCCATCTCTTTCTCGCTCTCTCACACTTCTCTCTCTCTATCTCTCTCTCTTTTTTCTCTTTCCCTCACTCTCCTTTCTCCCTCTCTCTCTCTCTCTCTCTCTCCCTCTCTCCTCCTTTCTCTCTCGCTCTCTCGCTCTTTCCCTCTCTCCCTCTCTTTCTCGCTCTCTCACACTTCTCTCTCTCTATCTTTCTCTCTTTTCTCTTTTTTCTCTCTACCTCTCTCTCTCTCTCTCTCTCCTTTCTCTTCTCTCTCTCTCTCACTCTCTCTTTTCTCTCTATCTTTCTCTCTCCTTTTTTGCTCCCTCTCTTTCTTGCTTTTTTTTCTCTCTGCCTTTGTTTTTCTGTTTTTACTCTCTCCCTCCTTCTTCTTCTTTCTTTTCTCTCTTTCTCTCTCTTTCCCATTATTTTTTATTCCCTTTTCTCTTTTATGCTCCTTCTCACTATTCCCTCACTCTCCTTATTTTCTGTTTTCTCTATCTTTCCATTCTTTTCTCTTTTTACTCTCTTTTCTGTTTGCTCTCTCTCTGTTCTCTTTCTCTCTTATTCTCTATTTTCTTTCTTCCTCCTTTCTTTCCTCTCCCCTTTTCTCTTTTTACTCTTTCCTTCTTCCACACTCTCTCCCTCTGTTCTCTCTGTTTTTTTCTCTGTCTTCTTTTTCTTTCATTCTTTCTCCTTTCTCATTTTCTCTCTTTTTACACTTTCTCTTTCCTTCGTCCTCTCTCTCTCTCTCTCTCTCTCTCTCTCTCTCTCTCCCTCTCTCTCTCTCTCCCTCTCTCTCTGTTTTAAGTGAAGGACTCGTTGGCGTATTGACAGTATTGATCGGTTGTGATCTCAGGGGGAAACAACCCAACATAAACAATCACACAAGTTGATTAGGGGCTGTAATACTGAGGGTATAAAGTTCCACTCGCCCTCCCTTTCCCCCTCTCTCTCTCTCTCTCTCTCTCCCTCTCCCTCTCTCTTCTGTGTGGCTCAGCTCATTAAAACACAGACCCCTGGAGGACGAGAGAGAGAGAGCGAAGAAGGAGAAAAAAGTAAGGGAAGAGAGAGAGAGAGGGGTGAATAAGTGAATAAGCAGAGTTAATTAACCAATCATAACGTTCCTCGGGTTCTTTGGGGCAAGTCGTGCAGGATTAGAGCACAGCGGGCTGACAGAGAGAGAGAGAAATATGGAAAAGGGAGAAAATGAGAAGAGAGAGGGTGGAGGGTAAAGTGAGCTCTGTAATAAGCTAAAAGACATTTTTTTGTGTGGGTTTTTTTCTGAATTTCCACCATAAAGCTGTATCTGGCCTGCTGGAGTCCTGAGAAGAAGCCTCAGGCTTCCCTCTCTCTGCTGATGAAGACCTCTGGGAGCCGTTGTGCGTTTTAAAGTATTCTGACGTTCAGACAGCCTTTCACTCTGATAGGGCTGAAGTTTGAGTGGTTCAGATGATGCTAATGCTGAAGTCCAACTACAACGACATCAAAATCTGAGACACGTAAACATGCAGTGAAACAGAAACATCCACCCGTTCAGAACAGCTCAGTGAGCTCTTTGAAATACGGTTACATAAACCCCTGCCTTCCACTTACTGGCCATTTTATTAGAAACACCTACCTTTTGCTTCCAATAACTGGCCACTTTATTAGAAACACTGACCTTGTGCTTCCACTCACTGGCCACTTTATTAGAAACACTGACCTTGTGCTTCCACTAACTGGCCACTTTATTAGAAACACCTACCTTAGGCTTCCGCTAACTGGCCACTTTATTAGAAACACCGACCTTGTGCTTCTACTAACTGGCCACTTTATTAGAAACACCTACCTTGTGCTTCCGCTAACTGGCCACTTTATTAGAAACACCCTGTTGTGTTTCCGCTAACTGGCCACTTTATTAGAAACACCCTATTGTGTTTCCACTAACTGGCCACTTTATTAGAAACACCTCCTCTGGTCTTGAAAGAAAGTGTTTCAAAGTTCTGGCTGTGATGTGTCTCGTCGTTTACAGGTTAAAAGGGAAGATTACTTTATAATAAAGCTGAAGGGGGATATTAAATGTTATGCAAATTAATTAGGACAAATAATATCTCAGCTCTTTGATGTCTGACCCTCCTGAATCCTGACCTGTCGTTGTCCTGAAATGTTGGAATTGAACATTTACATTATTTAAATCTGAAACTGCAACCCAGTCCAACATTTTCATCATTCCAGCAGCTCTGTGTTCACTGTCATATTAAAGCTTTTGAAATCTGATTAGATGCATTTAAAACACGTCTTTTGGGAGTAAAACTGTGACAAGAGTTTAGATCCAGTGTCTGGCAGCATGAAGCTACATCTTCACAGAGTTTCTGCTGGATGAATAATTTAAACTGAAACTGACCCAAAAATGCAATCATCTCAGATAAAAATCACACTGTAAGAGAAGCTGTGCCATTTTAGTTTAACCCTCTGGAGTCCACACACTCGCCAAATTCTCTGTTTCTGTATCTGTTTGTGTATCTTTGTGATGATCCAGCTCAGAAATCCAGTTCAAACACTTCCTGAATCTGTAGAGTCGCCCTTCCCATTCCATCTAATCCCGAGATCATACGAGACTCACATCCGGAGTTATGAGCCTATGAAGAGGGGCTGAGATACACGTCATCTGCCTCTCACCGTGTGGAACTGGTGGATTGGTGTGTCCGTCTACATTAGCATAGCTGAACACATGGATTCAAAGTTTCCTTTAGGCAAATAAAGTAAATTATGTTATTTATGCATGTATATTTATCAGAATTTCATAACGAAGAAAGAAATTTCTCTGGAATCACAAAAGTCAAAAAGTTGAATGCCATAAATGTAAATGTTCTGACCATGACTGATGCCTCTGTCTCTCTCTCTCTCTCTCTCTCTCTCTCTCTCTCTCAGATTGGCAGATCGCGACATTGGTGTTGTTGTTAGCCGGGGCGTCGGTGACGTTGGTGGCGTTTCTCGTGGCTCTGATCTCTCTGTGTAGAGGAACACACCGGAAACACTACCGCACCGTCGCTGTGTTTCTCTTCACTGCAGGTAACAAAACATACCAGCTAATGTCCAAAACTGTCTCTGTTCAATATAAACTACTCTGTATTCACTGTTAAATACACCCTGTTCACTATAAACTACACTCTGTTCACTATAAACATCACCATATTCACAATAAACAACACCCTATTCATTATAAACTACACCCTGTTCACTATAAACTACACAAAGTTCACTATTAACTATGCCCTGTTTATTATGAACTACACCATATTCACTATAACCTATACCCTATTCACTATAAACTACGCCCTATTCACTGTAGACTATACCCTGTTTACTATAGACTACACCCTGTTCACTATAATCTACACTCTGTTCACTATAAACCACACAAAGTTCACTATAAACTACACTCTGTTCACTATAAACTACACCCTGTTCACTGTAAACTTTACTCTGTTCACTATAAACTACACTCTATTCACTATAAACTACACTCTGTTCACTATAAACTACACTCTGTTCACTATAAGCTATACCCTATTAACTATAATCAATATCCTTTTCGTTATAAAGTACCCCTCATTCAGTATACTCTACACCCATTCACTATAACCCACACTCTTCTCACTATAAACTACACTCTGTTCACTATAAACTACACTCTGTTCACTATAAACTACACTCTGTTCACTATAAGCTATACCCTATTAACTATAATCAATATCCTTTTCGTTATAAAGTACCCCTCATTCAGTATACTCTACACCCATTCACTATAACCCACACTCTTCTCACTATAAACTACACCCTGTTCACCATAAACTACTGTGTTCACTTTAAACTACACCCTATTCACTAAAAACTACACTCTGTTTACTTTAAACTACACCTTATTCACTATAAACTATACTCTGTTCACTATAGACTGCACCCTGTTCAATATAGACTGCACCCTATTCACTATAGAGTGCACCGTATTCACTATAAACTACTCTGTGTTCACCATAGACTACACCCAGTTCACTGTTATTGTTGTGTTTTACAGAAAGAAAAGCTGCTCTTTACATTCAGCCAATTATGTCGTTATGTGTAAACAGTGTATGTGAACAGTGACTCTGTAGACGTGTAAAGGGTAAAATGTCCTGACGAACACTGAAAGGTCGTGCTGTTATTTGGGCAGCCAGTGCTGTTGAGCAGTGAGTCCACACAGACGGACGCAGACAGCGTGTTTACTCAGAAAGAAGCCGCCTGTGTCGGAGTGTTTGTTTAAGGATCGCAGTAACGCTAATCAGATCACAGTTCATTAGACACGGCATCTCTCTCTCTCTCTCTCTCTCTCTCTCTCTCTCTCTCTCTCTCTCTCTCCAACTATGCCCTCTCTTTCTTCTGTCTCTCTCTCTCCCGTTTCTCTTTCTTTCCTCTCTCTCTGTCTTTCTTCTCTCTCTCTCTCTCGTCTTTCTCTCTCTCTCCCTCTCACTCCTGTTTCTTTTCTCTCTCTCTGTCTTTCTTCTCTCTCTCTCTCTCATCTTTCTCTCTCTCTCTCTCTCTCTCTGACTACATTCTTGCTAATGAGTGGTGGAATGCATTTCCTCTTGAACAACAAACCCCAGAAGCCTCAGAAACTCCCTCTTCCCGTTTTGTTTTCCTCTCATATCCGCCCTTTTCATCATCTTTCACACACATTGCTCGTCAGAAGTTTGGGGACCCCATGCATGTTCAGTATCTCTAGCAGGCTTGATGATGTGTTTTCTGATACCGTGTGACTCACTGTTATCTATAAACACACACTGTGTCTGTTAGCGTAGCTAAACACGGCAGCGTTTAGTCTGTTTTCTGTTTAAAATAACAGTAAATTATAACTGTGTGGAAGGCTAGGCGTACCCAAACTTTTGAGGGACGTGAACGTGAGAATAAGCAGAGTTTAGATGAAAGTCAGGAGTGAAGCTCTCAGAAATCTCTCCAGGAATATTAAAGCCTCATTAATTTGCTGGTGAGTGAGCTGTGTTCCTCAGCGGGAGGCGGGAGAACGCGGCTGCAGCTCCGTTTCCGCCGCTGCTCTCTACAGCTCAGTTAACCGCTGGAGCACATACCATCCACATTACAGCACAGGGCACTCGGGGGAAGGGGGGGTGCGATGTTAGGGGGCGTCGTGACACGCACTTGTGTGTGTTTGAGTCAAAAAGTCTTTAAAAATCAAACACCGAATTAGAATTTTTGATAAGCAAATTAGCTTCTCTAATACAGTCTAATGTTCAAAGGGGAAATCCACCCAACTTTCCATGTAATTCAATGGTTGAGATGAAAACAAAGTCATTCAGGCTGCTTTGATGTAAATACGCCTGTCCTTATTAGGCAAGGGTTCTTATCAAAGACAGTGGTTCTGTATAGAACCATGAATACTCAAAGAACCATTTACATGCTTAAATGGTCCTTTACATCGTGAAGTGGTTCTTCATGATGGAGAATGTGTCGTAAATGGTTCTATATAGCACAAAAAGGGTTCTTCATTTGTTACAAGTTTGATGTAGTACAGAACAGCAGGTGCTAAATAGAACTGTTTTCAAAAAGGTGCTATAGGACCATGTACAACACATTCTTTGTCAATCTGAAGAACGATTTCACCATGCAGAGAACCCTGCAAAGGCATGCAAAGGGTTCTTTGATTGTTCATGGTGCTATATAAAACCGTAGTCTTCACTAAAGAACCTTTGAAGAACCGAGTGTAGAACAGTGTCTCAGTCTTCAGGCAGTGAATTCATAACCATTTCATGTAGGAACTTTCTGTGAAGGAGCTTTTAGAGGTGGACGTCTGGTTCCTATCACCACCACTGTGAACAGTTCTCTAAATCCTTGCTCATAATTAATGCAGTGCTTTGTCGGATGTTTTCATGGAGCGTGCGTGTGTGTGTGTGTGTGTGGAGCAGTATTATCTACTGTAGGACTGACCCCAGATCAGCCATCAGCCAAGTAATAACAATAACACAACAATAATATAACAATAGCCACGTTTACATGCAGCCTGATAATCCATTAATAATCTGACTAATAGCTCATTAGGAATAGATTACGTTCATGTAAACACCTCAGTCAGAATAGTCTAGTCCAATTGAGGCCATCAGGAATACAGTTTCTGTCTGATTGATCGAGGTGGGTAATCCTGTAAATAATCTGTTAAATAGAAGAATAATATCAGTGTAAACGCCTGTATCTGATTACATTCCCTATCAGAAAGTTTAAGTCCGTTCTGATCATGTTCATCGCGTCATAGTGAGAGTTTATACCGTTCAACATGGCGGAGCAGAAACTGGTCTGCAGAGGAGACGAAGGTTACGCTCTGATCTTTAAAAGACGGCGGTGGGACGGACGTCCAGCTTATGTGTCTCAGAACACGACGTCTTCCTCTCGGCCTTCTTTAATAAGGACATGTGAAGGACGTTTTCCTGAGTCTGACATCATTTTAAAGCGATTAAAAACACAAGCGCTGCTCACTGCTGCTCATCTGACTCTGACTGGACTCACGTGATGCTGGTTGTCATGGTAACGTCTACCCTAGGTTGTTCTCTACGCATGTGCATAATTTTGGATCTGATTACCTGTAGTGAGCATGTAAACAGAGATTTTCATCAGATTGTTGAGTAGAGTGAGAATAAACACCTCAGAGTCTGAGTCTATAGTGTAAATGTATTCAGTTGGACTGGCAAAAGTCTTTGCATGTAAACACAAACAATAATGGCTGTAACTCAGGATAAATGATGGGCTGGTTCTGTTGATCCTGGATCAGTGTGCAGTAATATTCCCCCTCATTAAAGCTGCATTATGTAAGTTTCCGCTTATATAATTCACTCATAAAGCTGGAATCTCTGTGCTCTCAGACCGATCGCGCTGGAGAGAACAGACGGAGATGGATGGATCAGTGCAGCTGTATTTCATCATGTCTTAGACTAGTTTAACATGCTGAACCTTCACACAGCAACTTTCTGAACTTCAGCAGCTTCACAGCCACATGAAGACAATCAGAAATCGCATTCGCTTACAGCACTTTACATTACTGCACTAGCAAGGCTGGCGATTTATCAATAATGATCAATAACAGCCATGAAAATGCTAAACGGAATGTTTTCATTTCATATGCATGATTGTTCTGGCTAACGGTCTGATCTCAGGGCTCCGTTTATGGATTGAACAATAATGATATTTAGACGATATTCCAACTTTGGCTGAGAGTCAGAACAAGCTCTGAATGAATGTTTAGGATGTTTTCTTTAAGTTCTGGTAAAATTTACAGCATGAACTCCTGATTCTGATCTCGTATAATTTACAAAATACATTTCCTGATTCTAATCACATATTTATGTTGTAAATCTTCTGATTCTGATCACATATTTACATCGTAAACCTCCTGATTCTGATCACGTATTTACAAAGTAAACATATTTACGTCGTAAATCTCCTGATTCCGATCACATATTTACGTCGTAAATCTCCTGATTCCGATCACATATTTACATCGTAAACCTCCTGATTCTAATCACGTATTTACAAAGTAAACATATTTACATTGTAAATCTCCTGATTCTGATCATATATTTAAAAAGACAGCCTGATTCCGATCACATATTTAGTTTGATCACATAAATATGAGGCAAATGTCATGATTCTGATCACATATTTACAGTGAAAACCTCATGATTCACATAATTAGAGCATAAGTCTGATTCATTTCTACGACATAAACCTCCTGATTCCGATTACATTTTTATGACATAAATCTCCTGATTCTGATCACATGTTTACAGTGTAAATTACCCTCACATAAATATGAAGCAAATCTTCTGATTCCGATCACATATTTATGAAATAAATCTCATTCACATATTTACAGTGTACATCGTCTGATCAAAATGTGATTAGAATCATTTACAACATAAATCAGCTGATTCTGATAACATATTCATTCTGACTGTGTATTTACGACCTAAATTGGCCAAATCTGATCACAGATTTATGAAGTAAACCAGTCGAATTTGGTCACATAGTTA